ACCCACCCACCCACTATTGTAGTATCCAAGGCACACAAGGCAACCAACCCCAAGCTCCCCGCACCCAACCGTTCCCACAACAGCCACCCGGAAACGACCCCGTTTCACCCCTCAAGTACCCCCACCCCGGCACCATGTGCCCCCTCCAAACCCGCACGCACTTAGCCAAAACAGCGCTCAAAACAACGGTGGTATTCAAACCAGCACGCCGTCAGTGCCTTCTCATGTGATACCGTATGTTACAAAATGAATTATTAGCCCATTGTAGATAGTATTCTTACATACAACCCCATTGTACGTGTGCGAGTAGAATCGTGAAAGCGAAAATACAGTACAGAAAGTACAGGGCGACGAATACTCAGCGTGCAAAAATTTGGAGTGCGAAGTAGGATCTATAGTAGGATTACTCCATGAGAGTCTAAATAACGGAAAGACTGTGGAAAGAAGAGGAGAGGAGAGGAGAAGAAGGAGGTGTATGACCGGCACACATCAACTTTACTTTCCATCAAGAAAATTACTTCCAACTCAGCATCATTGCGGTACAGAAAACCGGGGTTGGAGGGAGTAACTCTTCATTCCATCATGACACTCGTATAAAGCGGCCAGAAAAATTGCGGTGGTGGTGGTGGGGAGGGGTTGGGGGAATCCAAACTACCAAAAAGTAAAAAAACGTCATCAATGTGGTAGGGAGGCTGGGTAGCAAAAAAGAATCCTGCATGACCGACCATCCAAAAAAAAAGCGAAGGAACCACAAACTCATTTCCAAAAAGGGGGGTATCAGGCGACCAAAAAAAACACACTCCCGCGAATATCCCAAAAAAATCTCAGAAAAAAGGCGTCAAAAAGTCCTCATCTCCTTGTCCATCTCAAGACACAACTGCCCACACGCTCCCTACATTTCAAATCTCATCCCACGGAAAATCCTGCGGATCAATCCTCGTACAGGTAAGATACGGCAGCCCACCCTCGCGGAGATCCAGTTCGAGAAAATTCCGCATAAGTGGCTTGACAATATCTTTTGCTTTATTCTTAATCTCATCAATACGGCGCTCAAGCCGCTTTAGGTTATCGCGATTGTAGTGTTCGGGGTTGAGACGGAGAAAGCGCTTGCATTCGTCGTGATTGAGGTAGCTGGAGCCTGCTTGGCCGAGAAGGCGGAAGATGCGACCTGTGTTGAAGATTGGGGGTGGAGGGAGGAGGGCGACTTCGCCTCGGGGACCTTGGGGGCGCGGAGATTTGAGGATGGGAGCTGGAGGTGGGGTTGTGTTTTCTGCGAGCCATTGGCGGAAGAGGGAGACGGCGATCCAGTCGAGCCAGTTGCTTGAGGGGCTGACGCGCTCGCCGCGGCTGGTTGTGAGGGAGAGGCGGAAGAGTTTGACTTCGATCTTTGCTTTGAGTTCGTCCATTTCGTCCACTTTGTCTTCGATCAGTTCAATGACTGGCTCGGCAATTTGGCCACGCAGTTGGTTGATGCCTTGCGGCCACTGTCCGACCACGTGGACCATGGCCTCTGCGAAAATTGCCTTGCTCCGCGCCATGTAACCCAGTTTTAGATAGCTGGGTGGGTATTTTGCTATCTGTTTCCATAATCGGCCCTGGAAGCGGAGGAGGTGGTGGTCGACGCGTGGTCCAATTACACCAAGTGCATCGTACATGTCGGCTAACTGTAAGAGAGATTTGCACTCGACGTAGGCAGTCGCAATGTTGATGGTGTCGAGCGAGGGAGGGTAGTTGTAGAAGATGCGGAACAGGTTGTCATAGTCTCGGAAAGTGTCATCGTCGGGATCGAGTTCGGGAGGTGCGGAGGGTACGTTGACGGTAGAAAAGTTGGCTACGCTACGGAAGAATCCTGATTGCGGGGGCGCAGGCTTATTGTTTCGTGCTGGTGGCGGCTGTGTGGATGTGCTTGGGTCACCTCCAAACATGGTGGAGGGTTGGTTCTTCTGGAACATGTCAGCGGGTGATTGTACGCGCGTCTGTGGGAGACAAGGTACCTTTTGGACCAGCATAGGCACGTCATCGTCGCCGTTTCCCCAATCGAGCTCATACCTCCATTTCCTCTTTTGCTCTGGTCGTGAACCAGAGGGTATTCTAGACAGGGCGGTGCCGTTTGTCGGGCCTGCGTTGGTCACGTCTCCGGCGGTGGCCCACTCATCGCTCGTGCCAGCCTCAAAGAAACCAGAGCACTGGGTGAGGATCAGCTTATGCAGCAGATAGCGCTGTTCCTTGCGTCCGTTGCTAATGATGATTTCGACGTCGCCGGTATGGGTGAAGACGGGGAACTCATTTTGCGACACAAGCGACGAGCCACCGAAATTGGACCGGGTCTGGCGATGTCTGCGGACAGTTGACGCGCGAGAGGAATGTGATGCGACAGAGGAGGGCCGGCGTATGGGCAATGAGCGCTCGGCACTCGCGGAGTCTGGATAGGAAACCATGCGCCGCGACTGGTGGTGTTTTGCTGCGGACAGGGTCGCGGGCTGTGAGGGTGCTGGCTGGGGAACGGTTGAAGGGGGTGGGTGTGGTCTGGCGGAATATTGCGCTCCAGCAGGTTTGCGACGGGTCCGAGGTGGCTGGTCGCAGGGAGACTGCAGACTGCAGGCGTGGAGGCGGGTGAGGCGACAGCAGCAGCAGCAGCAGCAACAGCAGCAACGGCTGTGCGGGTTGCGTTGTTTGCACGCGGCGGTGCAACGATGCAACGATGCAGCAGCTTGGTCGAATGCAGACGGGTGGGCTGGTAGTTTGTTGATGCGAGGCTGGAGGCTGCGCTGAGTAGAGGCGGGCCGCTAAAACCACCCCACCTCCAAGGACAATGGCGCGCAGGGGAGACCAAGACAAGACGGTGGCTAGGAGCAACGCCTTTCAGCTGGACAAGGGCAGCGCTGCGGGTCAGCGGCAGTGGTGAGGTTTGTTTCAGACAGATAGGACAGACAGCAGCGGCCGCTGTCGCCATGGCCGTGGCCGTGGCAACTGTTCACATGGGCTGCTCTGCTTTGCACTCGGCCCATGCCCTGGCACAGAGCTGCTTGCGAGGGCTGTGCGCCAATCGCCTCCCATAGCCGGGCCAAGCGCTGGGTGAGCCTCGACGGCCACCAGCTGGGATACCGCGGCAGATGCAGGGGGGATGGCTACATGTTATGGGCTTTCAACAACTGGGATGCAGGGGTAGCAGGGTTATGGGCACTTGGGTCCGCCATTCGCGTGCTCGAGAGCACACTTCTTTTCAACACGCTCCGCGCTTGTCGTGGCGGCATCCAATCGTCAAGTTGATAGTATACATGCAGTGATACAGCCGTACTATGGTGCAACAAGAAGCACTTCTGACGACGTTGCGACACTAGTTGGGAACGGAACCTACCAGCACTAGGGCTGTGCTCCAATCTTCGCCTGTCCGCCCATAAAGGGTCGCAGCACCTCTGGTATCGTTACAGTGCGCTCCTGTTCGTTCCAGTGGTTCTCCAGGATCGCTGCCAGCACCCGCGGCACAGCAAGGGCAGTTCCGTTGACTGTGTATGGAAACTCCAGCTTGCCCTTGACACGCACTCGCGTTTGTAGCCGACGGCTCTGGTAATCCGTGCACATTGAAGTTGACGTCACCTCGCCCCAGCCTTGGTCCTTTTCTCGTCGTGAGGGGAAGAAGGCTTCAATGTCCAGCTTCCTTGTAGCGCTCGCCCCGAGATCTGTAGTCGGCATCTCCAAGATGCGACATTGCAGCCCCAGTGCTTCCAATATCTCCTTCTGTATCGCCAGCATTTCCTCAAAGACTGCTTCGGAACTTGATGCTGGCTGGGCAGCAAAGTAGTCTTCGCCCGCGTGGTCAGGTATTGTCCAAGCGAACATTTCAACCTTTGTGAACTCGTGAACGCGATACAAGCCTTTGGTGTTGGCGCCTCTTGCCCCCGCCTCAGCACGATAGCATCTACTGACGCCGACCGTCTTGAGTGGTAGCTCTGCTTGTTCGAACTTGTGGTTTGCATACATGCCCGCAAGCGGTATCTCCGCGGTGCCAGCAAGGGCTAATTGGGGCTTCGCTTTGTCTTTTTCGGACTGCTCAATGGCATAGATTTGCTGCTCTCCGTTCTGGTCCCGCGGCTGGAACCCGCATGCGGCTGCAATGTGCGAGTAGACAATCGAAGGAGGTGCCACTGCTTTCCACCCTTTGTTCCGCGCGACGCTCAGAGCATATTGTACCAGAGCTTGTTCCAGCATTGCTCCATCTCCGACAAGAAAGTACCAGCCCCATCCTGACGTTTGCGACGAGCCTGAGAAGTCGAGGATGCCCAGTTCTTGTCCAATGTCTACGTGCGACTTTCGAGACGCGGATTGCAGTGGCTCGCTCTCGGATTGCGCATTGATGTAGCCCACTACTTCAAAATCGTCGCCGACTGGAGTGTACGTGCTGCTCAAGTTGGGAAGGTCCTGCGCCAGAGCTTCAATCTCATCTTGTATCTGCGTCTCCTGAGCTTCAATAGAGCTCAATTCTTCCTTGAGAGCTTTCGCATCCGCAATAGTTCCTTTCTGCAAGGCAGCAGACTGCCCATCGCCACTCTTGGCCTGCGCCGCTGCCCTTGCGAGTTTGGCTCGCAGCTGGTTATTGCGCTCCCGCAAGCTACGACTGCTCTGCTGCAGGGCGAGCCACTGGTCGTGTAGTTCTATGATGCGCCATGATGATTTGCTATGCGCGCCATAGTTTCGATCTATACAATTCTGCTCGTAGAGACCTGGGTTCTGTCTGATGTGCTTAATGTCGATTGTGGGCTTGGGCGCGAATGCGGGTTGGGCGTAATTTCTGCGGGATGATAGCACGACTGGGCGAAGCGATTTTGTTGGTTTAGCTGTACACTCTGTGAGCGAGTGTCGAAAAGCTCTCATTGTCGCAGCACCTGGAAGGTGGAATTGTGCTGTCTGTCCCACCTCTGCAAAGTCGGAACTTTTGGTGGAGGCACTGTGACCCCTGCACCCTGTCGTGTAGTACGAACCTCGCGTTCCCCGCAGCCGCTCGCTTGCATTGCAGCTGCTATACTTGAGCCAACAGCAATCTCTCTTACGTATATATTTTGTGAGGAACAAACTCCCCACTTACGCACTGGGACATCTGGAGTAGTACAAGAAAGATTCGTTGCTATTGATTAGCTAGCTTTTTAAAGCCATGAGGTGGAGTGCGAAAGATGTGGTGTTCCATCTGTGCAGCAGTGCCAAGCTTAGATATCGATAACATCACGTGTGTCCTGGCAGTAAACTGTGGGCGCCAGAAGATCTTGTGTTGCTTAAGCTATGGGGGTTGACCGATATGCAGAGTTCACTTGTATTTTATGTCACGTGTTGTGCCTTCTGTAAAGCTTTACAGGGTAGGTTTTTCTATCCTATAACAGCGACGCGTAGCAGATTTAATATTCATCATTTGTCAGACGTGGATAATATAGGCTGGGAAACTTCACTGCTCAGGGTCTAATATCTACTCCAAAAGAAAGTGTTCTTCAATAGATGGCAATTTGTAGTTGACCAATCATCAGTCTTATTGCTGTAAAATACCGTAGACGCGATTGTATAGACTATGTAGACTATAGTACATCACACGCTTCTGTCAAAGCGCCAATAGATTGTTCTGGATCATTGTAATGTGGTGCGGTAGTATGTTACTTTTTTCAGCTTAAGCAAAAGTTAATTGAGGATGTTGTGGTTGCGGTGTGGTGCTGGTTAGGCGTCTACACATCATCTCAACTAGCTCCACTGTCACGAAATTAGCCAGCGTGTTGCCAAGACTGCCCAGACAAGTGGCTTATCTCTTCTGGTAAGGGGCTACGCTACGCCTTGTACCCTCTACCAGAAGATTGTATGACGAGATGCAACGTGATGAGGCCTAGTGTTCACAGATGATTTACGCTATGTTTTTTCATTGCTAAACATTTCAGTGAGTGCAGTCTCCTTTCTTTGTACTATAAATCAATTTATACTTATTTTAAACTTCTTAGCCTATAACACCAGCTTTTTGACTAAAGTTTAGAGAGTGTTGTGATCATTTGCTAGTCTGGAAAGTACCATCCAACAGCCATCAAATTATCTGTACAAATACTATCAACCAGCGGCAACCAGTCTAACAATAGACCAATCGACTTAAATCGACTACGGCCGGACGCCTAATCACTACCGCCAAGAGTTTATGCGAAGTCGTATAAATACTTATCTTGCTATGCTTAACGAACAGCCCTGCGTTTCTAACCTCCCAAATTCACTTCACTATTGCCCATCGAAATGACGCGCGCTCCTATACTTTTCGCCATTATCTGGAGTGCCTTGCCTGTTGCAGTACTTTCTGCTTGTCGTCATCCAAATGGCAACCTGCAAACGGACGCATATCATGCCCCTTGCACCGAGGTTCTAGGCAACCCACTCAATACCATGTGCTGCGCAATTGAACGGCCCAACCCGTCCGAAGGGATTTATGCAAATGGCTTCGCTGCAGATGTATGCCTGCCAAACGGACTTTGCAAGCAGGCCTGGCGCCGTGATGAAAACAGTACAACAAATATACAGTACTACCGAGAGGAGTGCACAGTTGAGGGGTGGAAGAACGGAAGTTGTTTGAGCGTCTGCTTATCAACTAGTGTGCGTAAAACGATCATATCTCTTTCACCTAGCCTACTAACACGTGGTAGGTTAGTAGCAACGTTTTGATGACGCCCTGCGACGATACTGCGAACTCTACAAGATGGTGTTGTGGCGAGACGAAGGACTGCTGTGCTGGTGATATTGGCATTGAGACGCTTGCGCAAACATTCCTTGGGGCGATTGCAACCTCCACATCGACTATCAGCTCGTCAGCGCTTAGCTCGTCAACCTCCAGCTCTTCGGCATCAACCTCACCTCTCTCTGAAACAACAGCACCTAACCATTCCGGTGGCTCAGCGTCGCTTTCAGCCGGTGCAATCGCAGGTATTGTCATCGGCGCCGTAGCTGGTATCGCGCTCGTTGGTGCTGCATGGTTCCTTATTGCACGGCGACGTCGTGTTGCGGATTCATCACTCGATAAACATCAAACCTCTGGTCCGTCCGAGATGCAGACACACTACTACGCACATGAAGCAGGTTCACCTGAGCCGAAGGTTTCCGAATTGTCGGGCACGAATCCCACTAATCACGATAAGACATCCAGAACCTACGAGTTGCAGTGAAGAGCTACAAAGGATCGAAGCTTGAGATTAGCGTTAGAATCTTTTACATTCTGAAATATAGAATCGTTCAGCCGACTGGGCAAGTAGTGAAGGATGGCTCCTGTACACAGTTTACCTGGTTGCCCCTGTCGTCCTGTCACTATTACGTTATTTGCTCTGGAGCTTTATGACGCCCAGCCATCACTAAAGCAAAGGCACCTATGTGATGTGTCAATGTATAATAGGCCAAAGTTCGATCAACTATACCTAAATGGATTTCGAAAATT